AAAAATATTCGTTGATCAGTAGCTGCTGCTGGCACGATGTCTTGCACATCAGGAACACCAGGGGCCATCCCGTCATCGTCTTGTAACTCCAAATCAGCGTTTGAGGCCGCGGTTGAGGCAACGATCTCGGCCACTTCATTGACAGAAAACTTATTGCACTCCACTCCAAGAGGGGTAGTCAAATACTCATTGAGAGAATGCAGACTGACATTGGCAGCACCAGGTCCAGGGGCATCGACGACTGACCACGAGTAAATTTTGGTTGGGTCTGAGACGTAGCGGAAATGGTCCAAAGCGAAGTTCTGAAGAGCGGATTCCATCGATCTCATCTTTCTCTCTTGCTTGTGAGAAAGGGCGTTGCGGGTTTTGTCATCACGTTTCTTCGCATCGGTTTGCTTTTTGGTCGCTGTTGTTTGGCTCATGTATTGCGACGCAGCATCGCAATGATAAACGATACGCTCAACATCTGAATGGGCCAGCGTCGAATGTTTCATTGAAGATCTGATGTCCCGTAGAGCAGGGTGGTTCTCAAAACCAAGGGTAGACGCAACTGACAAAGGGCTCCGAACCTGCTCTAGGTATTTAGCAACCTCCTCCAGCATAGTCGACCTTGGGGACAGTGAAATGACCAAACTCCAAAGCGAGGGCGCGCTATGACGACCGAGATGCAGGCACTTTGGGCGTCCAAGTCAAGGATGCACGGGTACCCCATGGAAACCGAACCATCCCAACAGTGGAGTTTGGTTGCACGTTTTTGGTTTATGCCTGCGCCCCCTGGTTTGACACGATCAAGTCAGGCCCACGCCGATAATCGACATGAAGCTTGTCTGATCTTGTCAAGCCGAGGGCCTACCGCCCCAGATCCGAAGTACATTCAGATACCCCCCCCCAGGCAGACCTTTCATTCAGCATCTTTTCGAACTCTGGCATGCGACGAGCATTGCTGACATAAGATGGGCCGACAGCTCGAGATTCCACGTTCAGTTTAATCTGAGCGTGCCCAGCTTCAACTCTCCGCTCTGCCACGCTGACAAACTTCAGGCAAGCAGCCTCGAACTCTAATTCGGGTGACTCTCGCAGCGGCCTGCCCTCCGCGACCGAATCAACTTGACGCCGAAGGGCCCCCTGGAGAATAGCACGTTTGTTGCATGTGTTCATGTATGAAAAAAACAACTCACCTCCTTTCCCCTCGCCTCTTCCTTCTCCGCATCCTTCTGCCCTCCTCAATATGATCCCTCTTTGGCCTCCCCCCAGACATGACAGGGCCTCTCCCCCTATCCTCTCCTCCTTTTTCTACATGTCCTCCTTCGCCTCCCCCTTCCTCGAGCTGTCCTCCCTTCCTACAGCTATGCTCAAGTCATTCAAACTATTCTCAACAATTCCTGACGTACCTGGCACTACCCCAACCAGCCAAAAGAGTCTCCTCAGGCTGAAGGAATCGAACACTAACTCGGTGGTGAAGCTGCGGGTCGGGCCGTCGATCCCATTGCTGCGAAACATCTCGAGCGCACTCTCGAACAACAGTTGGGTCGCTGTGTGCCAGGGCGCATAGCCGCCATGGTATCACTCTCCAAAACGTGAGCTTCACTTCCAGGACAGACCACGCATGAGCTCGTGCAATGTCCGAACATCCTTTCGAACAAAGGTCTCGAGCGAATACGCTGCTTCCCCCAAAGAGCCCAAGATTAGCCAAGAAAGAAGCCCCCGCCCCCCTCTGGATATAACGCGGCAGTGGGCCTGGAAAAGGAATCGCTTCAGAGCGGCGGAGCTGGCGCAGCCGAATGATCAAACTCCTGCAGCACAGATTCCAATTCCATAGGCGGCGCATGCAACGTGTTTGCAAAAACAACAATGTTGCTGTAAGACTTGGCAGCGATCTGATCAAACACACGTTTGGCTCGCCCTGCTGCCAGCTCTGGGGCTCGATTACCTTTGTTCGGGCACGAGTGTGCAGAAGGGTTACCAGATCGAATTTCTTCGTTGTAGGCTTTCTCATTGAACCGCCGGGTCTCATGAACAAATAGGGCTTCGTGGCACGGGCATCCTTCGGACCAGTTGCTCAACTCATGAATCATGTTTTCCAATTCCAGCAAAGCATGCCCCCAAATCCAAAACTTTGTCCCCTGAATAATCGGTGTCAGAGCTGCTATACTATTGTTCAGATCGGTCTCGCCGTCTGTCCTGCGATCGCGTTCCTCCTCGCGTGCGCGCTGCTGAAACTTGCTTGGGTCCCAGAAAGCTCGCAAAGGCATCATGAAATTATTGAGCAATGCTTTCAGCTCCTCGACGATTAACCCCCAACGCCAGTCAACGTGTTGTCTTATACCGTTTTTGAATACAGCTTGAAAGTGAGCACCAGGACCAACAAGACAGAAGTGACTGAATCGATTCCGAGCATCACCATTTGCTAGAAACAATGCGAGATGTTTCAGTTGCTTGACCCACTCAGGATAATGGGGCATCTTGTCCAGGAGGCCAGAGGAGAGATTGTGACAAATATGAGCCATCGCAGGAATCGGCAGCATATTTTCAAACATGAAAGCGTTTGACTCTGGAGCGTGTTCAGGACAGCCGTTATCATCTACCAGCTCACCCAGGGCAGAGGTTTCTAGGAGCACATGTTGTAAATCCAGGCGCGCGTGTTCTGCAAGACCCAGCTCCGTGCCCATATCGAACGCCCCAGAACGAAACGCACCCATGATTATACCTAAGTCTGCCTCGGAAGCCGTCTCCAACCTCAGCATATGCAGCAGCACGCTCAATTTATGCTGGAGGGAAGATGCCTTCGGGAACGGAGACGTGGACTCATATGCTCCAGTCCCAGCCACTCCAGCGGCCCCTGGTTGCAAGCACTCCCAGAAGTGAGGGCGAAATATTAAGCTTGCAATCAAGAGTCGCCAGGAAGGCAGGGCAGTCGCGTATGGATACTCGTCACAACGGCCCTCGGACCTTCAGACCCAAACCTCCTGGGGCAAGGTGGTGAACTTGGATGTGTTGGACAAGATCCATCCCAAGTTCTGATTTCAGATCATCTGATAAGAATTCGGCATCCGTCTCAGTGCGCCCTCGGCACCGTTCCAGTCTGACGGTCGCTCTGTACAAATTTACGATGTGGCTCTTCGGAATAAAGCGCATGTCTGCCAGAAGCCAATCATGACCTACTTGAGGAGATGAATCTGCCCAAATGTACAAAACGCACTCAGATAGGCCTCCGTTGTGCGCCCACCACTTCATCAACGCAACGTCGAAGAACAACGCGTACCGATGCAGAGTAGCACGCGACGGGACTTGGATTGTTTGGACATGCTTGCATGCGACATGTGCTAGATCCGCCGGCAAAGCAATCTTCAAAGCGTGTTCCAGGGATCGTCTCACTGAGCCTCTATCACGCAGCATGCCTGCTAACCTCATGCACTCAATGATGTGTGCAGCCCGGTAAACCCTCAGCCCCCAATGCGATGAATCAATTGCATCGGAGACCCTATTCATTGAACTCGAAGCCGTCCCAGTATGAAGTTGGCAACCCAATGCATCCAAGCCCTGGACCAGGTGCACCAGGTCTGCCTCAGTGTCTTCACCACCCTCGGGGCCAGCTGAAGAAATTGATTCCCTTATGATAGCAGGGGCCCACTCTCGTAGACGAGAAGCTGCGAGGGAGAAGAAACTCGATGTGTTGAATTGGCGCCTGTCCTCAGAATTGGCCTCTGGTTCGTGCTTGCCTGCGCGCGAGTTTCGCCACTCTGCAGGGGGCCACAGCCTGTCGAATACATCTGGTATAGAAGGTCTTGCTTTCGGCTGGAACCATCTTGCCAAGAAACCAATCCTGGTCCAGTCACACCGACAAGCAAGGGCTGCAATCGGATACGGCAGTTGAAGGCACAATGATGGTAAAAGGACGCCCCATTCTGATACCAGATCGTTCACTGAGGTTTCCCGCATCATCGGTGCAATCGAAAAGTCAACGCCCAGAAGATCATCCAATTGAGCAGACGAAAGCTCGAACACAACATCCTTCCGACTGAGAACAAACCGCTCTGGATGAATTGCACGTGGCCATTCGTTGTTCACTGCAATTGCGGAAATGTGGGCAGAGAAAAAATCAGAAGGGCGCCCCCAGAGTTCAAACAAAAAGCGTTCTTCTCGGTTGAATTGTGTCAGCGGCCCCTCCATCGCGGTGCCTGGGGAGATCAACGCCAATGCAACTATACTAGAATTGGCTTCCTCCTGGGCGAACTTTTCCAGAGTGTGTTCCTGAGCATGATTTTCCAAACGTTCCACGATCCATTCCTCATTCCAAGGCCTCCCTGATCTAAACTTCTGATGGCGGTCGGGCCCATGCGAGCAGTTGATACAGATATATGCGGCCACGGCCGATGCCATCCAAAAAAAACAGCGCGAACATGTTGACATCACAACACCGAAACGAACATCTGAGCCAAAACGCTACTTATCGCAATCGGCCCCAGTCGCACCGGCAAAGGTCGACATGGTATCACGAATATTGAACAATGGATGTCGATTATTGTGCCAATCACCTTCGAAATTTGCTTCGACGACCTCTAAAATTGTCAGGCCTCCTCGGAAACCTTGAAATCCTACGCGCGTGATTGGCTGCATTCCCGACGCTGCATGATCCCCTCATTTTGAATTGTTTTTTTTATGTCAACCATGCTCCTGTCGCTGTTTGGAATGAGCCCCTCTGCCCCAGAGCAATCCCGCCCAGCATCAGCCTATGCGACCCTCTGGCCCTGCACCTGTGAACTCCCCTACTCAGAGCAGACCTTCGACAGTTTATGCTCATGTACGATGTTGTGTCTTCTTCGATTCGCGCACCTCCCCAGAGGACCGAGCACCTCCACTTTGGAGGTCGAGACCCCGTTCTGGAGGAGAAAAGAAGCCTCTGGAGTGGAAAAGGGACGTGGCTTCCAGAATGCAGGTTGAAGCTCCGTGTTGGGAGGCTCTTCATCCTCTGGGTCGGCTGTGCCCCCCCCCCCGCGGTCCGTCAGCTCGGCCTCGGCCTTCGCCTTGACCGCTGCCGCGCGCACCTCCGCGCGCATGGCGTCGCCCTGCAGCTTCACGAGGGAGCTGTGGAGCTCCTCGGCCTCTCGAGGGACGGGGTCCAGCGCACAGCGCCTGGCACTGCAGCTGGACCCCTCGCCTGCGGCTCTCCAACCCCAGCCGCGATGCGCGAAGCACGCTGAGCTTCGCGCCCCTGCGGGTGACCAGGAGACCGAGGTCGCCACGAGGGACCGGGTCCTGACGGAGATCGGTCCTGGACCTCGGGTCTTCCCCCGGGGGGGGGCAGCCCGTCAGCCCGAGTCGCTTCTCGATTGCCCCGGCGCCCGTACCCTGGGAGGCCCAGAACGGTGACGGACCTCAGGACCCGTTCCCCCCAGGGCCCCAGGGCCCCTCTCCATCTCAGCGACCGTGGACGGGTCGTCGGTGCGAGACCGTGGAGGGGAGCGGCTTTCGCGAGCGTGCCAGAGCAACTGCTCGACGTCCTGCGGCGCTCGGTCGGAGCGGCGAGCCCGTGGGGCGCGAGGCCCCTCTGGGGCCACAGGTCATCATGCCGCCATCGGCGCGTTCGCCCAGAGCTCCAGCCACGGCATCCCCGACTGTGGTGGAAATCGGCCGACATTGTTTGCCGAGTGGAGGTGGGCGAGGGGAATCCATGATCTGGGGCAATGGCTCAACGCATGGGGTCGCGATTGTGTGGTCTTACAGGGTCGCCGCGAGGTCGTTGCGAGGTAGCCCTGGGCCTCTCATTGTGTAGTTGTGGGCCAGATGTCGTGGAGTTCTGAGGCCTGTGGAACAACGACCAAGTGGGGGGAAGGTATTAGCCAGCTGCGGGAGGTGGCCATCATGAGCAAATATGGAGGAAGCTAATTACGCCGTGCCCAATATGCTAGTCTTGAGGTACCTCCGAGATGGCTACGGTCTTCCTTTCTGACTGATGCGAGCGCCGCCAAGTATAGCGATAATTAGGCGCGGCTTCACAATGAGGTTGTTTAGCCAAACCCTGCTTATACCATGGGGTCCATATTGCATGCGTACCAATTGCATCCGCGTGTCGGGGGCCCCCGGTCGCCGCCATCAGGTCTGGCTTGTCCCAGAGGATCAAAACATCCATGATGGATCGGAGGTTTGGCCACCATTATGGAGACGTCTTTCCACGAAGGTGGAAGTTCGTTCTCTCATACCATACGTCTCCGCAAGCGCGCTTGCGCCCTCTGAGTAATGGAAACGACCACCGCGCTGGGAGGGGGGCTGTGGGCCAACCCTGCGAGAAGGAAGCAGAAGGGGGCGGGGAGACAAGGAAGCAAGGAATGGAAATTCAACGTCCAAAATGGAGGTGTTTGATCTTCTGAGATTAGCTGGACGCTGCACCCGCCGCCGCAGTGTTCTGGCCACCGTACGGGGTCCACGCACCCAGCACAGCCCTGAAGAACTCTTCACGATGATGATGATGATGATGATGATGATGATGATGATGATGCTGATGATGATGATGATGATGATGATGCTGATTATGATGATGATGCTGATGATGATGACGACGACGATGATGGGATGATGATGATGATGATGATGATGATGGTGATGGTGATGGTGATGATGCTCTTTATGTTGATGATGACGATGATGATGACGATGATGAAGAGGCTGGTGACGATGATAATAAAAGTGATGGTGATGATGATTGTGACGATGCTGATGATGGTGATGATCATGGTGATGAAACTAATTATGACAATGGCGATGTTGATGGTAATGATGATGATAATGCTGATGATGATGGTGGTGGTGATGATGATTATGATGATGATGATGATCATGGTTATGCAGATGATGCAGGCGATGATGATGATGATGATGATGATGATGATGATGATGATCATGATCATGATGATGGTTATGATGATGACGAAGATTAAGACGATCACGACGAGGATGAGTATGCTGATTATGATAATTATGATGATGATGTTGTTGATGACGATGACGATGACGATGATGATCATAGTGATGATGATGAGGCGGGGAGGAAGGAGAAAGAGGAGGATGAGGATGATGATGATGAGGAGGAGAAGGACGAGGATGGGGATGCGTATGATGCTCATGGTGATGAGGCGGATGATGACGATGATGATGCTGATCGTGATGATGATGATGAACATGACGATGATAGTGACGGTGGTGATTATAATACTGGTAAGGTGATGATGATGAGTGTGGTGATGATGATATTGGCGATGATGATACTGCTGATAACGGAGATGATGATGTGAATGATGATGATGTGGTGAAGATGCTGGTGATGCTGATACTGCTGATGATGGCGATGATGCTCATGATGGTGATGATGATGGTGATGAGAATAAGGATGATAATGGTGATGGTGATGTTGACGATGATGCTTATGATGATGAAACTGATGGTGATTTTGATGCTGACGATGATGATGATGATGATGATGATGATGATGCAGGTGATGATTCTGATGACGGTGATGGCGAAAAGTAGGACGATCACGACGAAGATGATTCTGCTGATGATGATGGTGATGATGATATTGTTGGTGATGACGATGGCGATGAAAATGACAATGATGATGAGGAGGAGGCGGAGGAGTAGGAGGAGGAGGATGAGGAGGATGATGATGAGGATGGGGATGAGGATGATGATAATGATGGTGATGATAATGACGATGGTGATGGTGATGATGATGGTACTAACGATGATGATGACGGTAATGATTATGATGGTCATGTGGTGATGATGATGATGGTGGTGATGATGCTGATGACGATGATGATGATGATGATGATGATGATGATGTGAATGTGAATGTTGATGTTGATGATGATGGTGATTGTGGTGGTGATGATGATGATACTGCTGATGATGATAATGATGATGATGGTACTGCTGACAATGATGACACTGATGATGCTGATGATGATGGTGATGATGATGATGATGATGATGATGATGATGATGACGATGCTTTTTTCTTCAACTGGACCTCCTGATGTGCCAGCATAGGGGAAAACCGCTGGGCTTACGCCATCCCAGCAGCATCGCACCCAGCCCGTTCCATGCAAGTGAGGTTAGGCCAGGTGCAAACTCAATCAGAATCACCAGATTCTGCCTCCAGCACGATTGGCTGGAGCTGTCGCGGCCACTCGTCCGCTTCGGGGGAGGGGCCAACGAACAGGAAACAGAGGAAGGCTGCTCCTTGGGGGCACCACCTCCCTTCGAACAAACAAGGGCGTCGGGATGACGATCCTCGCTCGCCCACAGGACTCCTGCGCAAGGTTCTCCTTGCCTTTCTTGCTGGGTGGCCCGCGCTCCCCCAATGAATTCCTCGGGTGCACGGAGGCCGTGGAGATCGCAGTGGGACGGAGAGCTCCCCACCGGGAAATCGGTTTCGGTTTCGTGTTCGTGTCGTGCGTGCGGGCGAGGCGAAGGTGTGTGGGCGCGCGACAAGAATGATGCCGCTGTGGCTAGGAGCTGTGGAACAATTTGACCGCCCCGCCCCCAGGCGCGCGGTGGCCCGGGGTGCCCCGTCGGTGGTGCGGGGGTGCACCGTCGGTGGTGTGGGGGTGCTCCGCTGGTCCTGCGGGGACGCCCCGTCCGTGGAGCGGGGGTGCCCCGTCGGTGGTGCGGGGGTGCCCCGTCGGTGGCGGAGGGTGCCCCGTTGGTGGCGCGAAAGTGAGATCGATAGTGAGATCGATAGTGAGATCGATAGTGAGACCGATCGTGAGGTCAATAGTGAGATCGATAGTGAGATCTGTGGTGAGATCGATAGTGAGATCGATAATGAGATCGGTCGTGAAACCGATTGTGAGATCGATACCCCGTCGGTGGCGGGGGGTGCCCCGTTGGTGGCGCGAGTGAGATCGATAGTGAGGTCTGTTGTGAGAGCGATAGAGAGAGAGATGTTGTGAGATCGATCGTGAGATCGCTTGTGGGATCTATAGTGGGATCGACAAGGATATCGATACTGAGATCGATCGTGAGACCGATTGTGAGACCGATAGTGTGATCAATCGTGAGATCGATAGTGAGATCGATAGTGAGACCGATTGTGAGATCTGTTGGGAGATCGATAGTGTGATCTGTTGTGAAATCGATCAAGAGATTGCTCATGTAATCTACCAGTGCGATCAACATAGAGATCGATACTGAGACCAGTGGGAAGATCGATTGTGATATGGGTTTTGAGATTGATAGAGAGATCGATGGTGAGATCGATTGTGATATCGATAGTGAGACCGATAGTGCGAACTGTTGTAAGATCGATCGTCAGTCCGAATGTGAAATCGATAGTGCGATCGATTGGGAGATCGATTGTGGGATCTGTTGTGAAATAGATAGTGACATCGCTTGTGAGATCGATAGTGAGTTCGATTGTGAGATCGATACTGAGATCGATTGTAATATCGATCGTGAGATCGATTGTGAGATCGATAGTGAGATCGATGGTGAGATCGATTGGGAAGTCGATAGTGGGATCTGCTGTGGGATCGATCGTGAGATCTGCTGTGAAATCGATAGTGAGTTCCCTTGTCAGATCGATCGTGAGATCGATACGGGGATCTGCTGTGAGATCGATACGGGGATCTGTTGTGCGATCGATAATGTAATAGGTTGTGCGATCGATAGTGAGATTTGTTCTGCGATCGATAATGTGATTTGTTGTGAGATCGATCAGGAGATCGCTCTTGAGATCTATAGTGGGATCGACTTTGAGATCGATACTGAGATCGATTGTGATCGAATCTGAGGCTGATAGTGGGATCGATGGTGAGATCGAATGTGCGATCGATGAAGCACGACCATATCACCCGACAGAAGGTCGTACAGGTACTGATTTGATGATGATGAGGATGGTGAGGATGATGATCACAATGAGACTGACGATGATAGTAAGGATGACGAGGATGATGAGGGTGATGATGATGGTGGTGGTGCTGCTGCTGCTGATGCGGATGCTGTTGCTGATGATGATGGTGCTGATGCTGATGCTGATACTGATGAGGAGGAGTAGGAGGATGAGGATGAGGAAGCGGATTAGGACGAGGATGAGGACGAGGATGAGGATGATGGTGAGGATGATTATGATGATGATGCTGATGATGATGATGATGATGACACTGATGATGATGATGATGATGATGATGATGATGATGATGATGATGATGATGATGCTGCTGATGCTGATGATGATGATGCTGATTATGATGCTGATTATGATGATGCTGCTGATGATGATGCTGATGATGCTGATGATGCGGTTGCTGCGGATTATGCTGCTGCAGATGACCACGAAAATGCTGATGGTGCTGATGATGCTTATGATGATGACGACGATGATGCTGATGACGATGCTGATGCTGCTGATGATGATAATGATGATGAGGGAGAGAACCGGGGTGATGATGAAGATGGGGAGAATGAGGAGGAGAAGGACAAGGAGGGTGAGGAGGGGGGCTAGGAGGCGGAAGAGGAGGAGGACGACGAAGATAATACAGACAAGGAAGACGAGGTCAGAGAAGGAAGAGGATGAGAAGGAGGAGGAGGAGGAGGAGGAGGAGGAGGAGGAGGACGAGGAGGACGTGAGAGGGTGCGGAGTAGGATAAGGATGATGATGCTGATGATGATAATGATGATGATGATGGTGGTGATGATGATGCTGCTGCTGATGATGATGAGGAGGAGGAAGAGGAAAAGGAGGAAAAGGAGGAAAAGGAGGAGGGGGAAGAGGAGGGAAACGAGGGAGGAGGAGGAGGAGGAGGAGGAGGAGGAGGAGGAGGAGGAGGAGGAGGAGGAGGAAAGAGCAGGAGGATGAGTAGGAAGAGGAGGAGGGAGGAGGAGTGCCACTGCCAGGAAGAGTCCCTAAATCCACCTTACAAAATCAATAATGTGCCGGGGGGGGGCAGAACATCGCCGTAGGCCTTGGCAGTCCGATTGGCTACGCGTAGGAGGAAGCAGGAGGAAGAATAATAGGTGGAGGGGGGATCAAGTGTTTGATGCTTTTGTCAGCTCCTGGGCCTCCAGAAGCCTCCGGGGCCCTCTGGAGACCTCGGGGGGAGAAGAGGGAGGAGGGGAGCATGTGCGGAATGGCGAAGAGAAAAATCATGCAAACACTAGCGTAACCACGGTCTGGGCAATCAACGCTGCCACCGCCCTCGTCTGATTATGACAACTTTGCCGGGAGCAGCGAACCCTTCCACGCGAGCCGCAGCCCTGATCGAAATACCAATCTGGCGATTGCAGGGGACACCCGACGCTATGAGGACGCAAGCCTCTTCCGAGGGCAGCCCGCGCGCTAGACAGAAAGAGGACACGATACGTGACAGACAGGGTCGGACCATCATACGAGGCGGGGAGGCAGTGGACGTGGCGATCTTTGCTCGCCTTTGCTATATTGCTGCCATGTTCCATCAACTTTCAATTGAAAAACAAATACCTCCGCCACCAAAAACCCATCGGGTGGGAGTGTAGGGGGGCGACCACCCCGATGGGTTTTCGATGGTGGTAGGCTCTGTCTCCCCTCTGACACTTCGCACCCGCTCTCATCCCGCCGGGGGGGGCCCCACCAAGGAGGGGCCTTGGCCCTGGGGAGCCGATGCCACGGTGCCCCAGGAGGCAACGGATGTGGATATCTTTGCCCGCCTCTGCCTCTGCTTCACTTTACCGATGTTCCTTCCATCGCTTCACACCTGCTCTTCGCCCGCCGAGGAGGCCGCCCCAGAGGAGGGGCCTTGGCCCTCGCCGCCAGCATGCCGCTCTCCGAAGCGTCCTGCTGCGCCCTCCTCAGGATGGCCGTGGCGTTGGCGCGGAGCAGCGCCGCCTGCCGATCGAGCTCCTTGGAGGGGGGGGGGGGAGGGAGCACCATCGGGCGGAAGTCGGAACGGGGAAGGCAACCGCGGGGGCAATCGGGGTGCTCGTGATGGGCGAGCGTGCCAGCGCCACACGGTGCACGTGATGGGCGAGCGTGCTGTGCCCAGCTGCCGCCCGCACCGCCGATGCAACGGTGGTCCACCTCTGGCAACCTCCGAGCAGTGCCCCGCCCCTCTAGACAGAACGCTGGCGCACCCGATGAAGCTTTCACCATCGATCGAACCACTATCCATTCTTTGTTATCTGCAGCCGGAATGTTCAAAATCAAGGTTTGCAATGTTCTGGTTTCGAGGGCCCCGAGGCGCAAGATAGTGTCCCAGACAGGCAGGCGGAACAAGGCATCAGACGGAAGCAGAGGAGCAAACGGTTGTTGAAAAAAGAACAACACGGGCGCAGGCGACCTTGCAAGCACGCGCGTGGACGTCGTTGCACGGCCGCGCGCGTGCCTTGAGCACGCCACGCACGGCGTTGCGAATCGCGTCTGCCAGCCCAAAGGGGGCCCCGAAAGCTCCTCAAATGCCAGCCCTGCTCCAAACGGTGCTCAAACGAAATGCACCTGTCTACCCCTCCACACCCGCTCTCGTGCGCGGTCTAACCGACCCCATCTGTGATGACACGTATTGGAAAAAAAACGCGTGAAAGTCGTCACGGAATGCGTCGGCTCATTGCGGTCCGTTCGGTCCTGCGCTGCCCCTATCCCCGTTCCCCCCCTCCGTCTGCATCCAGTCGACATTCTCACGCTGCCGATGGTCCACCCCGGATCCTCCCCCCCTCCCCCAGGGGCCCAGGGGAACGACGGAGAAGAGGGAGGATCATGGATCGGGGGGAGGGAGGATCATGGAGAAGGTAAAGCGATTATGGATCGATGATCGTGGAGGAGTGGGGAAGGTCGTGGTTTATGGAAGGTGGGGCCAAAGGGAGCAAGGGAGGAGGGAGGATCAGGGGTCATGGATCAGGCCTTCGGGGATCGGCGACGGCACTTCCCTGGGACAATCATGGAAAGCGAATCCCCCCGATCTTTTGAAGGGCGCCTTGGGGGAGGAGGGTGATGGAGGAAGAGGAGGAGGAGAAACTAGAATTGCGGGTGGCCGTGGTGAAAGGTAAGGGACATGGCGGCGCTGGTAACACGAGAGATAGCAGATCGGCGGTCTCTTTCCTCTCGCTGTAATATCTGGTGCGCGGCCCGCTGTGAGCCAAGCGGCAGCGGACCCCTCCTATTTGAGTCGGGGCTACCGGGCAATGGAGTGTCCGTCCGCAGCATTTAGGCCACAGAAAGCCACCCGCAATGAGGCGCCAGAGAATTCATCGCGCGGCCGCAGCAATGGACGCTCGGCACAGCTCACCCATGGATCAAGAGCCTCGGCCCGAGCGGAACGCTATGAACCCTGGGAGCCCTACCGGCTGTTCGTGGTCAGCCCGCATTCGAAATGAGCGGAGCTGAGCCTGACCATGGTTGTGGGTCGTAACAACTCCCCACCGTCGGGAGTCCACGGACAGGCTCTATACCCAGTGGGACCAGCAGATGTTGCTCGACAGCTGGGAGCGTTTGCTCGTGGGGGCCCGGCGCAGATCGTGCCCAGAATGCGCTCGCAGCTAGCCGTTGCGTCGTTTGCGCGGCTGCGTAGCAAGGGATCACCCGCGTGCCTCGTTTCACGTGCGCGCCGGTGCAGCTCGACCAGCTGCTTGCGGCAGTGCGCCTCTAGTTGCTGACACTCACCAATCACAGCTGAGCTTTGACTGGTCCGCGCGTTGGTCCGGCGACTGCTGAGCGGAACCGACGCGGCGCGCGCTGTGGATGCGGCCAACAGCAGCGCAGCGTCGCAGGCTACCCCAGCTGTTCGCAGCTGCCCTGTTGTCGGCAGCACAGCGCGGCCGACGCGCCAGGCCACCGCCATGCATGTCTGTTGGTGCAAGCGGAAGCGTGGATGGCGATGCAGCAGCGACCTCTGTGGCAGCGCGCCGTCGCGCTGGCGCCTGGTGGCGCAGGCGGTGCTAAGGCGCCAAAACCGTGCGCGCACGCATCGCGCCAGTCGAGTGGCCGGGGCACTGTGCCTGCCTGGGCCTCGCGATGAAGACGCCCATGTTGTTGTCCGACGTAGCGTCACTCTCCTTCGAGGCAAGAACGCCCATGCAATTGACGGGGGGACTGGCCGGCCACTGGCGGCATGGAGCGGCCCCTCGACGATGCTCGTGTCGAAAGACATCTGCGATGAGCGCGCGGCCGGGTCATCCTCGCGGCGATCGTCGCAAGTCGGTCGCCCAGTGCCTCGCCGCCGGCACATCATACTCAAACGTGCTCCAGCCCATCAGCGCGCGGTGGCGGCGGCAAAGACGCGCGTGCACTTCTGCTGCGCAGTGCGTTCAGTGCACAAAGACGGTGGATGGCGCCGTGCCAAATGGCGACGTAAGCACTTCCTGTCGGTCCGTCGCAGGCGCGACGGGGTTCGCGCTGCCGGCAGCCGCGCGAGGGAAGCTGGTTCGGCCAACTGTCCTTACCCAAGACATGGGGTCGCGCGCAGCCGCGACGACCGCGCGGTTGCGTCGCTGTTCGATGTCAGGCTCATGGCGGTGAGCCTGGCGGCAGATGTCACATGTTTAATGACTCTGGGCGCGACCTCGTCGGCGGTGCCCCGGGACAGGCGCTGCCGCGGGAGTCGGCGCGCTCGCGTGCGACTGTCCGCGCGGAGGTGCTGTCGCGACGCAGCGTCGGCAATGCGCGGGCGCAAGCGGGGCAGCGCGGCGCCGCTCCCGAGTCGCCGCCCCCGATGGGCGGCCACGGCGCCAGGCCGCTGTCGGCGAGCAAATGCGCGCTCCAGGGGCTGGCGCGGGAGCGACGAGTGAGGAGCAAGTCCGGCACTGCCGTGCAATGGCGCTGCACTGGGGCGCCGGGCCCTCCATCGCGTCCGCGGCCTCCTGGAGGCCAGCAACCTGGGAGGTCGTCATCGGCATGAAGTTCTTAGCGGCGTTGATCATGGCGGGCCTCGCGGGGTGGATCTCGCCCACTTTAGAGAGGATCAGCTCAGAAGACTGCTGGACATCGTGCGCTGACGGCGCGCATTTTGTTCAGCGTATTGTTGTGATCGCCGATGTTCGCCGCGGGGCTCGGCAACTGGGCGCGGGCGTCGGCGGCGGTCGCCTCCGCGGGGCCTTGTCCGCCAGCTCGTCCGTCATGCCCTCGCAGTCGCTGGGGCCCCACGCTGAGTGCCGCGTCGATCTGGCGATGGAATTGAAGGGCCAGGCCCTGCAGCTCGCTGCGCGGACGCCGCTGGCAGACTCATCGAGCGCGCCGACCGCGCGCAGGTGCTCGACGGACTCGGCGAACAAGCAGTCGGCCGTCGGCGGCCAGGACAAAAGACCTCGAGACCCGTGGGGCCCCGGGCTCGCGAGCTCCCCCTTTAGGCGGCGGCGCCCCCTGCGCTGCCTCACGCCGCAGCCCCGCGGGGGGCCCTCGACGCCCTCGACGCCCATCCGAAGCAACGCGTCCTCACCGCGCAGGGGTTCGTCCAGATGTGGCTCTCGAAATCGCGGTTCTGCGTCGCGTCGGCTCCGACTGATGCGAGCATCTGCCGCTTGCCACTGGCGCTGGCCACGGCGTTCACGATGGCCCGGCTCGACGACGAGGAGGTGCGAAGACAAGACGCGACGCAGAGCGCGGGCGTCGGTCTTGTCCGCCGCGGCACGCTCGTTCAGCACGCGCACAGTCTGGAGCAGGTCCAGCGACTCTTTCGCGATCGGAATCTCCGGAGTCGCGGCCATCGCCACGACATCGCCCAGCGACAGCTCGTGCCCGGCGCGGCGCGCCTCGAGGGGCCCCCCCACGAGCGCGAGGGTCTTATCCTGCAGGATGCCGACCTCGCGCGTCTCTGACACGCTCTGCTGCAGACCACGGTGCCCTGAGGCCGTTGACGAGCCAGCCGCGTTCCTTGGCTGTGCGCAAGGTGGCGCACTGCTAGCCGCGTTCATTGGCAGAGTAGCTGCGCATGGTGCGGCGCACTGGCTGCGGCCCAAGCCGCCCCGCCGAGTTCTGGGGCAGCTCCTGGCAAAGATGCCCCGCGCTGATCTCGGCGCGCCCGAGGTGGCCGGCTGCGGCGGCGCCGTAGTCGAAGACCTCCTCAAGGGCGTCGGAGAGGCTAGGCTCGACATTCCTGGTGGTCACAGCGCGGTCGAACTGCCCTGCGCCGCGGACGGCCGCGCTGTCTCGCATCCTGCCCGGCGCGGCAGTGCACGGGACAGCGCGCAGCACGAGGGCCGCGGCAAGGGCGGTGGTCGCGGTGCCGACGCGTCGGTGTCCATGGCGAGGCGATGCTGCAAGGCGCATGACTCTCCACGCAAGAAGCCTCGTGACTCGGACTCAGGCCGCCGCCCGGGGCGATTGCAGCGCCCCGAATCTTCCTCGGCGAGGTGACGACAGGATGCGCGTAGGAATTCCGCCCGGAGGTCAGGCAGCTCCTTGACGTACGCAGGGGCCTCCTTGGCAACGACTGCGCTGTTGCTCGCTGGAGGTCGCCTGAATTGTTGGCCACCGGTTCCCGGATGTTGCGTGCTGCGCGCGCGCCCGCGCGCGCATGGATGCGTGCCTGGTCGCCCTGGCACTCAGGGCCGTGCTGAGTTGGCGCGCTAGGCCAAGGTGGAAAGGCGGTAGCGCAATGAGTCGGGTCGTGCGCGTGAGATGCACTAACTAGCTTGGTCTGACGATCCTGATCGTAGCAGCATAACAGATGGCTCGTGCGAGTTGTCCAGAGGTCGAACCGACGCTCGCGATTTGCAGATCAGCGATCAGAGCGCGAACCAGGCTGAAATACTGCCAGAAGGATGCATCATAGACAGACTGGCATGCAGCGTCGGAACGCGCGATGGCGAGGACGACGCCATGTCATGTACGCAGTGTAAGAATAATAGAATTACTTCGCAAACCATTGCAAGACACAACGACAATGACACGACGATCGCTGCTATGTTGGCGTGTTGTACCGGCATACGAATCAAAATGCACATTACTTCCGTGTTGCGTGTCGTAGTGTGACCCACCTTCCCAGCCCAAGTGGCGCATGACCGTGGCTGCGTTGGCTGCCGCGCACTGGGCTGAATGCGCGCTAGGAAATCGGCGCGCAAGTGGTGCCTCGCGCGCGCGCGCCAGCGTGCTGCTTGGTCGCGTGCGAGCGCGGCGCGGCGCGCTGAAGCGTGCAGGAGCCATGGCCGCACCGTTGCCGGGGTGACGGCGAGAGCGAACTCGGTGAGGTTGCGGCTCGCGCGCGGCACCTGGAAGGCGGCGCAAGCACCGTGGCCGGTGCACCCGGGCCCCAGCAGCATCAAGTCGAGGGCGCTGAGACGTGGGACAGCGCACCCGACACCCGGCACCAACAAACTTCATCTTTGGTGCTGGCCAGCGCTCGGCCTGGTCTGGCCAAGGAAACTCCGGGTAGGAAGCCCTTTTTCCTTTTTCCTTAGGTGCGCTGGTCTCCACGCGCACTGATGCGTCATCCCAATGAGCGGCGCAGCTCTGGCGCTCAACGAGTGTATATGTGCGTGCGGACAGCCGCGCGCGTGTTTGCGTGATTATGCGCGCCTGGCCGTCCAGGCTGAGCGTGGCCGCGCCCGCGGGGCGCTCTGGCCTGTCTCAGAGCCTCTGCGCTGGTGCTTGTCAGCAGCAAGGTCGTGGTCGTGTGGGCCAGGTCTGGCGTTGCCTGCAGGTAAGACCCTGTGGGTGCTGTGCTGTCTCCTGGGGGTGACGTTTTGCATCTGGAACATGCGCTGCGGAACCTTGGCTGAGGAACGTCGCGCCAGTGCGTCCGCTGCCCCCAGAAACGCGGGATGTGAAAGACGCATTGCATCAGTTGTCCCGGCCGCGTGGCCGATGGTTCTTGGGAGGGGCGCTGACGCGGGCGCGTTTGGAGTGGATGCAGGACGCCCCTGCAGTGACTGCCGTGCTGGCGACAGCGATCGCGTAGGTCGCGTGACCCACGATCTCCAGGGTGGCGGTGTGAAACGCGTGAAGTCGGTGTAGCCACAACCGATGTCATGGCTGTAGTGCCGCCTCTCGTAGTCGACGATGCAGTCGTCATCGCTGTTGCGCCCGCTGTGGTCGGCTGCGTGAGTGTGATTACTTGATGTGGCCATGTGAAGGCAATGCGCTGGCGCGGCGTGATCTGGCAGGCCGTCGTTGTAGCGTGCGTTGTCGGCTTGGCCCGGGCGCCTGCGCGCTTGCGACGGCCGCGCGCCTGGCGCGGGCGCGCGCGCGCCCTATCATCGCAGCGTCGCGCGCCAGCGCACTGCGCTGCGACATATAGCGAGGCGCAGAGTCGCGCAGGCACGCGTCCGCCACGCATCGGCACGCGCATGGCCATGCCGTGACGGCGCGGCCGCGCAGCGCGCGTCTGGCGGCTTTGCGGCGCGCTGCTCACTGCGGCGCCGTTGCGCGACGCGGCTGCGCAGCGGCGTGGCAGCGTCACGGGGCGCAAGGGGGTGTGCCGCAACCGCGCTTCACAGCCATGAGGGCGTCATATAGCGTCGCGGCGCGCACAGAAGCGCCCCGCAGACGCGCGCGCAGTCACGCGCGCATAAGCGCCCCACAAACGCGCTGCACAGCCACGCCCACTTCTGGGCCATGCTGCTCGGAGGGGCGCCGGCGAGGCCTGGTCGGCACCTTGCCCATGGACGCAATGGACTGCGACGTTCCTCGGCTGGCGCGCGTCGCGGCCAACCTGCGGAGAGGCAGCGCCGCGCGCGCGCGTGAGTCGGGATGGCGGCTGACGGGCGCGCGGGCTCCTGTTCGCGCGATTGGTGGTCGGCGGCGCGCAGGGAGGGGTTGGCCTCTCCCTCTTCTCTGCGTCGTAGACGCCGACCGGGCGCGCGAGGTCGAAGGGGTCGCGCCCTGCGCGGACCAGCAGCACGTGCACTCCCAGACGCCAATCAGGGCACCTGAGAGGACTGGTACTCTTGGTAGAAGTCCCACCAGCCCTTTGGGCGTGAGTGGTTTAGCGAGCTCTCTCTGTTCTCAACCCCCTTCTTCCCCTTCGGGGAGGGGTTTACCCCTCCCCCTACCCCCTCCCCCTGGACCTGGAGGGGGCCTTTCGCGGGTGGTTGGAGGGTCCCTTGCCGACCCCTGGGAGGGCTAAAATTCGACACCCCTCGCGAGGATCGTGGCCCCGACGGGGGGACTGACGGAAATGCTCGCCCCATCTGCGATCGATCGCCCCAAAGATGGCCCCAACAGGCCCCCAAGACGCTCCAAGAGGCGCCCAAGAGGGCCCCCGGACGCTCCCAAGAGGCTCAAAAGAGAGCCCAAGAGGCCCCCAAGACGCCCCAAACGGCCTCCAAGAGGCTCCCAAGAGGCCCGAAGAGGCCCCCCCAAGGCACCCAAGACGCTCCTAGAAGCCCCTGGGGCCGCCAAGAGGCCCCCAAGACCGAGGGGCCGCCAAGAGGCCACCAGGACGAGGGGCCCGAACGACTCACACCACGAAGAGCCCGAACGACTCACACCAGAAGGAGGGGCCCGAACGACTCACACCAGGACGAGGCGCCCGAACGACTCACACCACGAGGAGCCCGAACGACTCACACCACGACGAGGGCCCCGAACGACTCACACCACGAGGAGCCCGAACGAGTCACACCAGGAGGAGGGGCCCGAACGACTCACACCAGGACGAGGGGCCCGAACAACTCACACCACGAGAAGCCCGAACGACTCACACCAGGACGAAGAGCCCGAACGACTCACACCACGAAGAGCCCGAAAGACTCACACCAGGAAGAAGGCCCGAACGACTCACACCAGGACGAGAAACCCCAAACGACTCAAACCACGAGGAGCGCTTTCTCTCCCTCCTCCTCCGCCTCGTCCTTCTCCCGCTCCCACCACAAGGAGGATGTGCAGGGAGGCGGGGGGAAGGAGGAACAGGGGAGATATGCGGGGGCAGGCGGAAACACGCATGAAAAACACGACTGTCGGCATGCTTCGCAAGAGTTGCTGTTTTGAGATGGGCTGGTGGGGATACGCGAAGCGTGAAGAATTCCTGCCAGATGTGGTCGGTGGCGTCGGTGACCTGTCATGCGGGTCCTCTCGCGGCGATCGCTGCTGAACAGATCTGGTTGATCCTTTGACAAAGGAAAAAATGATCCAAAAGTGTCGACGCGGTGGCACTTATTCGCATGATCGTAATCTGCTGATAGCTGCCAGAGCACTTCGTTGGATCACATCAAGAATATGACTTTTGAACCAGAGAGCCTGTGCCAGACATTTGGCCAGGTACCTGCGGGGGCTCTCGTTGATGTTGCTGGCCAAAGCCATGTGCATGATGGGCGTGCCAATGGCGGCGCGTATCGCATGCTTATCTCACCGATATCCGACGCCAGTCGTTGGCGGCACCTATGTCGCGAGTCTCGTCGCGCGTTCCAAGGTGCAAGAACAAGTATACACAATTCCAACTATATCTCAAGGGATGGGATCGAGTAGTCTTAATATCAGATATCCCCCCAAACATGGGAGCGAGCGCTCCTCCGCAACACCCCGCAGAACAAGGGGCGAATTCTCACTCGCAAGATCTCCCAAATAATGGTAACGAGTGGTCGCGCTTCGTAGAATGTCTCCCGAGGGAATGAAACGACTCGGGTTCCACGGGCGAATGGCGCGCCCCCCATTGCTCAAAATTGGTAGACTGGCGACGTTCGGCCAGGGTCGGGTCGCCACGTGGCCACACTACCTCAGTCCTGCCATGCCGCGGTTGGGCCAACCCGCGCTGCGCGCCAAGGCAGCCATGCCCGGCGGCCATCGGCGCCTGGCCTAGTCGCCCAACGTCGGCTGCTCATGCGGCTGAGGCTGATGAAGGCCAACCCCGCGCGCAGAGGTCGCACCTGGGCCAACGTTATCATGGTTGCGTTGGGCGCGTGCTGAAGTGCGCGCTTGCTGAAACGCGCCATCGCCGAGCTGACGCGATCGCGCAGACGCGCGCCCATTGAGTGGGCAGCCACGCGTCTGGGGTGCTGGCCATGTCGCGAAGGACAGGCCGGCACACCGAGCGTTTAGGCATCGCGGCGCTGGTAGGTGCGCAGCCGCGCCGACGGCCTGGCGAGAGCGCGCGCGCTGTGGAAGCGTTTAGGTTGATACTTCTGGTTCAATCTGGAGTGCCCTGTTTGACATGCAAATGCACGCGTCGATGCAGTCGTCGTTGCTGCGCCCATTGTCGCGGTAGCTTTCGCGTTGTCC